CTACTTGTTGGGAAAACAAAGGGTGTATGTTCTGCCTCCATCCCACTATGGGACCAGCAACAAATTCTTTTCTTTTCTTTATGTAGATTGTGTTTGGCAAATCCCACATTTATCTTAACCTGATTACCATCCTAAATTAAAAATAATATTTTATACAATATTTTCCCACATGAACTTGAGACAACTTAGTGAAACAGAAAGAAAGATCTTATCAAAGTGGGGTGAGGTAGAGGGAATCTAGGCTAAAATTTTAAGCTCACACTGCCTTAGGTCAAATTCCAATTCTGACAGTAATTTAAAATTAAATTTAATAATTAATAATTTAAATTCTCTCTAGTTCAGTTACTTCCTTTATTAACTCGAATAATAGTGACAGTGTCTACCTCAAAGAACTATTGCAGGGATTAAATCAGCCGATACCTGTAAAGACGTTAGTCCCGTGCTTGACATGTAGCAATGTCTTGGGAAAATTTATGTGGTATTATACAGCGCAAATACATAACAGAGATGGGACTCAGAATCCAATCCTTGTTCTACCATGTTCTGGAATAACATCATTAAATTTTTTTTTTTTTTTTTGAGGAAGATTAGCCCTGAGCTAACATCTGCTGCCAATCCTCCTCTTTTTGCTGAGGAAGACTGGCCCTGAGCTAACATCCGTGCCCATCTTCCTCTACTTTATATGTGGGACGCCTACCACAGCATGGCTTGCCAAATGGTGCCATGTCCACACATGGATCTGAACTGGCAAGCACCGGGCTACCTAAGTGGACCTTGCAAACTTAAGCGCTGCGCCACCGGCTGGCCCCACATCATTAAATAGTGTTTACATAGTTTATTTTTGAAATTTCCAGTTAACTTGCCCCGGAAATCCCTTACCCTAAACCTCATGGATTCCTAAGGACAAACTAGGCTGTTTAGACACTAATGTTATCTGGAAGTAGCTCTAATGATGGATTCAAACACAGTGCTTATATTTGTGCTACTGCGTAGCAGAAAAATGTTGTGTTTAAGCAGTTGGCATTTTTCAAAAAGTTCATGCTCAGTACAATAACTGTTAAAAAAAAATACAGTCAGTCTGGAGCTTATCTCTTACTTTAAATCTTCGAAGGACAGACAAATCTGTCTCAACTAAATTCAAAAGAATCAATGAGATGGTACTTATCTCCTCAGTGAAGAACACACAGACAGCTCATTTATTTTCCAAGCCTTCACTGCCATGTGTGACTATAGGATTTCAGTGACTGCTAAGATTCTGTGAGTCGCTCTAAATTGCCTAAGCTTTCCCACATTTTCATTTAAAAGGGCAAAAGGCACATTAGGTCTAAGAATTTGGTAAATTCTAATCGTCCTTCAGCAGCTGCTTTCTGGTATGATGATAAGCACCAGAGAAGCATTTGCCTCTATTTAAAAAAAGGTGTCATGCCAGTCTATGTATATATTTGGTTAATGATTAAAAATGTAAAGTAGTGTCCTCATAGTGCTGATGTTTAAAGAACATTAACATTCACCCGTCTTTTGATATAACCCCACCTTCCAACTCTTGAGGATAACTCCTTTAGCTTGTTAATGTATATCCTTCCAGAATGTACACACAAACATGCATCCCACATTTACATACATGTTTGTATATTTTTCCCTTTAATGAGATTTGCCTCATTCTTAAATACTCTTCTTTTAGAACTCGTTTTTGTTTTTGTTTGGCTTTACTCAATATGTTACACATTTCTATCCATTTGACTTTTTAAAAAAGTTTAAGTCCAACTCAAATTCTTTAGTCTCCAAAACCTTGTAAATTCTTACCCTTATGCTTCTAACATTTAAAGTATGTTCATCCTTCTGCCTTTACTACTTTATCCTAATCTATACAGGCTTTCTCTGTAAGTCAACTTGCCAACGAAAATTCCAACTTGAGAAGTTAAAGCATAGTTGGTAATGATGTTATTTGGATTACACTAAATATTTTTCAAATACATTATTCAACAAAAAAATACCAAAAACTATAATGCTTGATATTGTGTATATACACATATTTTCCAATAAACCAGCATTATGATGTAGAAGGAAACACATTCTTCATCTAAATTGTATCTACTGATACGCATAAGACTGTTTCAGGTTAAAGTTATATTAAAGCTATTTATTTTACCAAGCATTTTGGGGGAATGCTTTTGATATACTAAACAGACATTTCTCCCCTTTATTATGAATATAATTTCATCAAAACTCAAGGTAAATCTGAGATATTGAAAGAACAAGTGACAGGAACAGTTCCATAAATATAATAAAGGTTAAAAAAAAAAGCTGATGGTTTCAGGAGCAATGTGAAAACATGTCTGACTTTTCCCTAGATCATTTTAACTTTTCCTTTGGAGAACGACTGAAAAAAATCCAAAATTGTATATAGTAAGGCAGTGGAACCACATGATGATAATCAACAGAAGAGTCTTTCCAACCATCCGGAATTCAAGCTGTGCATATGGAGAACTCAGGTATTCCAAACAATTTGTATAGTAAGGGTTAGTTTCCATAACCCATTTTGGCTATGAGTAATTTAGTAGGCAGAATTAGATTTCATTTCCAAAGACTGTTTTTCCATATCATTGCCTGCTTACTGGCAAGACTCAGGCATAATCGATAACCTCCTCCTAGCGCCCTATTTCCCAGAAATGGAGATGACAGCAATGTTTTACCCAACAGATAATTCGCTCTCTTAACTAACGACTACCTAGTAGAAAAATGGATTCAGACTTCTGAATCCATTTTTAAATTTGAATGGAAATTTAAAATAAAAAATATTTGAACAAATACTTGTCAAATAATTAAATTCATACTGAGGTGATCAGTAATGTTGATGTAGGCTAGTAAAGTAACGGGATTTTCACCAGCCCTAAAATTTACGAAACATCAGGCCACTTAAATGTAGGCACGCCCGAAAGGAATCTTAAGCAGTCTAGATTTAAGGTATTTTATAAATTCCATTCATTTAACAAATATCGAGTGCCTGAGTAAAGTTGCAAAATAAATGTTTGTTGGATGAATAGGTCTCTCTTACGTGTGTGGCTTTGGGTTAGACGTAAGGAATGCAAACAGACTAATATGGAATCTACCCTAAGGAACTTATTTAACGCGGTAAGACATGTACAGAGGAAGTACATATATTCTGTAGGAAGCAGAAGGTGATATGTCTTTAAAAAGATAGCTCCAACTACTTGCTACCGGCGTTAGAGGAGGGGTCACAGAGGAGGCAGAGTTTGAACTGGGGTTTGAAGTACAGGAACGATTTAGACTTGAGACCTAGAGAGGAGCATCCCAGAAGAGACTCCGGCGTGCAATGGCACAGAAGTGTGCAGGCACTGTTTGGTAGGCAATGGGAAGCTAGGGAACATTTGTGAACAGGGAAATGACACGGTCGGTGTTGTGTTTGGGGAAGAGTAGTAATCTGCGGAAAGTATGTGAAATGTATGAGAAGGTGGAGACGCAGAAGTGGACCTCCTGCAGGTCCATAGAAATGTGGAGCTGAAGCTGGACACCGGTCAGGATTGGCGACAAAGGTTTGGGAAACTGGGAGTCCACTTCCTTTTCCTAGTTACGCTTGGAAAGCCGCGAGAAAAGCAGAGGACCGTCGGACGAGTCCTGAACGGAGGGTGATGGCGTCTGAAGGGCCAACTTCTATACTAAACATCCTGGCCAATATCTGGACCTCAAAAAGACCAGCCAGGACAAGATAACGCCTATGGGACCGCAGGAAGGCCAGGTGTGGAGAACCCTAGAAGACGGTGCGTCCCAGTGCGTGTCAGGGCTAAAACAGAAGCAATTTAATGAGATATATTTAAACTGAGTGTATTTGGACCCTCTTCAATAGCCATCGTTCTCGGCCTAAAGAAACTCAGAAGGGAGTCCCAGCTTTAAATATACTATCACGGCCTACATTCTTTTTAAAACAGTGTTCCAAGCTACTTTATTTATTTTCCTGAAACCCCCTGTAACTGTGCCGGCTCCCTCCATCTCGTGCCGGTTCAGGAGCACACGGATCAGGAGTCTGGGAGGGATGAGATTCAAATTCATACTGTCTTTACCGCGCCTGAAAGCAGCGAAGGGTCTGGGGGTCCACCCTACGGCCTCCAAGGAGGAACTTGGCACCGTCCTCCAGATGGCAGGGAGAGCGGGCAGGAGAAGGAAAGCCAGGGTATGAATAGCGCCCCCGTGGGAAGCAAGAGTGAAGGCTGCCACCGACCCGGCTTTCCCCTCAAATCCAGGAAAGCGGGGTTACTGGGGCTGGCGACGGCCCCCGAGCGGAGCTGGAGGTGCTCGCAAGGAAAGTCAGATGCTCTCCGCGCTCCTAGTTATCCCCGCACTCCTTCTCCGGGAAAATGCTCCGGGCCCCATCCCTCGGCAGCGATCTCTCCTCGTCCCAGTCCCCCGGGGTCGAGTGGCGGGCCCCGGGTCATGGTCGTGTAGGGACCGGCGTGGGGAGAGCCAGCCGCTGGGAGCCGCAGGGCCGGGGGAATCCCACGAGCAGCGCGGCTTGGCTGGGCGCCCCGGGCTTTCCCGGCGCCGTGTGCGCGGCGCCCGCGGGGCTGCGGACCCTCCCGCTCGGCGCGGCAGCCTGGCGGGAGCGGCAGCGCGGAGCAGGTGGGTGCGGAGGGGGCTCGGGCCGAGGGAGAGGCGGGCGCGCGGGAGGAGAGGGAGGCGCCCGCCGCGGTGTGGGCGGCGCCCGCCCTGCTGCGCCCCGGCCGCGCCCTGGGCATGGGGGCGCTGTCCCGGGTCAAGCGCACATCTCCCGCGCTCGAGGCCGAGCCCGGGCGTCCCCGGCCAGCCGCCCACCTTAGAGCAGCGAGCGCCCGGGAGGAGGAGGCGGAGGAGGAGGCGGAGGCGGCGGCCGCTCCAGCCCGCGGGTGCGCGGAGCGCGGGAGGAGGCGGAGCGCGAGGCGGGGTGGCCGCGGGCGGGTGTGCGCGCCGGGCCGGCGCCCCTGAGCGCCCCGCCTCGCCTCCCGCGCCCAGCCTGTCTCTTGCTCCGCCACAGACACACACCCACCAAGCACCCACCGCCTTCCGCCCTCGCCGGCCGCCGCCGTTGCGCCGCGGGCAGCCGGAGCGAGCGGTAACTCCGCGGCCGGCGCGGCTCGCCTGCCCGGCTCCTTCCGCGCAGCGAGCTCAGCCCCGCTCGATTTTTCCTCTTCCATCCCAGCCCTCTGTTGTCTGGGCGGCGGCGGCGGCGGCGGCAGGGGGATGGGGCCCCGCGTGGGGAAGGGGGTGAAGATCGATGGAGATTATTGTTCTTTTTAAGGATGCTTTAGCTTCCTCCCGCCGCCTCTCCTTTGAGCCTTCCTCCTAGAGAACGTGAACCAGAGTCAGGGATGTAAAGAGAGGGGGGAAAAAACGCCAGGAGCTCCAGCCAGCCTGGGAGACCCTCCTCTCTGTGGAGGGGAGGGGGATTTCCAGCGAGAGATCATTGACGAAGGGGCTCGTCGCAGGGAGAGGAGCCCCGGAGGGAGCGGGGAATCCCACAGCCCTTTGTGGTGCCCGAGCCCGTGCCGCCTGCTGAGCGGGGTCGGTGGGAGCTAGGTAAGTGGCGGGGGCATTGCTGCTCCCCAGAGGGGTCTTCCTTTAAGAATGTATCATCGCGGGCAGCCTAGCCAGACTTGAGTTGCTAAAGGAATTGGAAACTGCCATATGGCGCCGAGTGGACTTACACACAAAGCTGACTTAGCCCTGAGAGGGTTATTAATGAAGGCTCCGTCCCCCTGGGGAAGGCACTCAAGGGCTAGCCCCTGAGCAGCTTCCGAGCAGCCAGCCAGGGAAGGGATGGGAAATGTTATTTCTAGGAGATGAGCTCTTGTTGCCTTCTGTTCATTTGTTGGTAAATGCCACACTCACATGCACACACTTGTGGGACCGGATTTAGGGAGTGTGATGTCTCTGATGTATGAACAGTCCTCAGAACCAGAGATATGCATGCATTTTATTCTTCCAGCGGTGCGCGGCTTCCGTTCTGTAACACGGTTCCCGGGAGGGAGAACGAGTCTCTAAGGAAAGAGCTTCATGGCTGTTTCCAACACACTCTGCTAGGGGACTTGGGAATACAATTGCCCTGAAAGGCACCAAAACACACCGACCATTTGCCTCATCATTTGCTTCCAATGCTTAATAACCGTTTTCAAAATAGTATGTGCCATCTATTTTCTTGAATTAGAGCATTTTTGTGTATTCATTCATAAAAATTGTCAATGTGCAATATGCACAAACATGCCATTTATACATCATCTATGCACAAGTGTTATAATAATAGATACAGATTACACTGAAAAATGTACGATGCACAGATGTACACTGGGTTAATTTCATGCAGGTGCAACATTTCTCTAATCAAGTTATGCAATAATGTCAACATTTTAAATAGCATTTCGCATTTCTGTTTTTGCATTGATTGATTTTGGCTTTTGTTGGGAATCTGATTTTTTTTAAGCCCAGCTCAGAGGAAAAGTGAGCATCTTATTATTGTTTTTAAATGTATAGTATTGTGTGGGAAAGAGGTCTCTTGGTTTATTTACCAATAAACATCAATCGAGATATTACATTTCATAGGACAAGAGAAAGATAAATTCCAGTCAGAAATCTGAAGTCTTACTTGTTAGTACTGAGTAAGTTACCAGAAAGGTTTCAAAAAAGAAGGTAACGTTTTAAAAATTATCTATGTATAAAATAAAGTTTTACTTTATTTCACTCTTTAGAGAGGCGTGGGTGTGTATGTATGTGTGTGAGTCAATATATAAAGTTGTCCAAAGCTTACTTGTAATACATGAATAGGATCTATAGATAACTAGACTAGAGAGTTCTCGGTTCTTAAATTAGCCAGAACTTAAATAGTTCAGTAATTTGGCACATTGTGCTTGTGTATGTGCATTTAATTGCTGCTAGAGGTGGTGTTTTTTAATGGAGGGCTATTAAATAATGTGCTTACTTGTGTGGCTGCGTAGACTTCTGAGAATATAGAGGGTCCAGTGTATAAAAAACTTGTTTCTCCACTGAATAGAATATCGCTTCCATCTAAAAGAGTTAATATGCCTTAACAAAGTAAACATTATAAACCCCTCCCTCTTGCTGGCAGGTACAGACCAGTTGTTTATCACAAATAGAATTCTGTCGAATGCGCTCTTTTTTCCTTTTCTGGCACAACTCGGACTCTTGGAGAAAGGAGTGAATCACTTGGCAGTTCTCTTTGCTTTGTTCCTCGTTTTAACCTTCATCTTCCGCTCTTCATGCTAGTGTCCCCAAATCCCCCTCACATACAAACACGCACACCGACTTTGCCACTTTGAGAATTCTGGTGACTCTCTTTTCTTTTCCTCGTATGTGAATCAATCTGTGCAGCAGTTGGTACTATTTCCAATTTCACTTTTTTCCAAATCCCACGGTTCAACTTTCCGAGCCTACATGTTTATTGAATATTCAGATGGAATTAGTGAAAATTATAACCTTAGCCAATCCTTTCCGTTTGGCTTTTAGAGTTTCGTTCTTGACACCCCAGAGCAACTGTGAACATGAAGTCACCCTTCTGACTTCCAGTGTGGTAACAAAAGTGGGACTCCTGGAAAAAAGAGATGGCAGGACATGCTTTCGGTCTCATGTCTTAGCAACTTAAAAGTGTATCTGCCCAGGTTTTTTTGCATATCTGCCTGTATATCTGTAGAATGTCTTCATTAAGCATTGAAAAAATATTTTTTCTTGAATTTATATCTGGCATTTTGAAATGGTGTTCTAGAGACTGGTATATGTGTATACGTATTATGAAAGTAGATCAAATGAGTGGTAAAGTCTAGGAAACATACAAGATATATTTTATTCTGACAATACATTTTTTTCTTGATAAATTATAAGAAAGTAATTCATTCCTTGAAATGTGCTATCCCTTAGAGACAAATTCTTTAGGAACATCCTTAAAGTTGATAGGACATCTTCTCATGCACATTTTAAGGTAAATATATAAGATTTAGAATGTAACATTATTTGAGATTTGCTTATATTCATGAAGTGGATTTTGCATAAAATCATGATTCCTGTTATTTTTACAAGGGCTTCAGAGGAGTGGAGTCTACACATACATTATATGTGATTTTCTTTTTAAGTTCAGAGTATTTTTTAGGGTAAGAGTTTTGGCCTTATTGCTCCTGAAGTGATAAAATAAACTTTGTAGAAGCAGCACAGTCTTAAATTTTTTAGTCGTATACTGCAAATATCTTGGTACTCCGGATCTAGAGCCCATTCTTGTTCATTGCTTATTTCCTCCTTGTGCTTCTTAAATATGTATTCCCACCAACTCTACCACACGCCCAGGTTGTCAGGCAGAAGGTCAAGTGTGTGAGACCGGGGGCTTCTTGGCCTGTGAAAGCCAATCCCTGCCGTGTTATCCAGAAGGGAAAAGTGCCTATTTCTGTAGGTTGAATTGTACCTATCTGCACTGTCTGATTTAATATCGTGTATCTACTCAGTAACCCATTCATTAATTCATTTATTACTCATTAAGTATGTATAAGGAGAAGAGCGCTTGATTAGAATGGAACACATGCAACAGAGGTGGAAGACATAGTCCCTGACCCTCAAGGATTTTTTAGAGTGTAGAGAGTAAAACTTGAATAACTAATTGAAGAACCACATGTATAGTTCAAAATGAGGGATCTCCTGCATACAGAAACGCATTTAACAGTTACATACTTAATAAAATTAATTAAGGCAAATTCATAGAGGATCATGAAAATTTGTCCCAGTCTATGCATTAGAGAATTATTAGAAAACAATGATAATAACAGCTTTCATTAAAATGATTAATTTTTAAATTGAAATTAAATTAAAACATTAATGTAAATATTTATATCTTAATAGTAATTATATTATTATTTATATAAGCAAAATAAATTTATTTTTATTATTATTATTATCCAAGCAAACGCTTGAGCCAGGAAATGTTTTAAGTGTTTTACAAATATTAAATATTTTAATTCTCACAACCACTCTATGAGGCATCTATCACTAATAGTCTTTATTATGCAGATATGAAAATTAGGTACAGAAGCTTTTCTTGTCTAAAGTCACATAGGAAGTAAATGCTACAGTCAAGCTTTAACCGAGACATTCTGGCTCCACTTAACCGCTAAGATATTAAGAGGTATTAAGAAGCGTGATCCCAGGCAGAATAAGAAAAGATGTTTGCAGCTGCTAGATTTATTTGGAGCTATACGGTCCCATTAAAGGATACCATAGTTATTGTTACAGGGGATGCTTGGAACAGGCCAAAAGTAGAGAATTTACTTTAAGTAGGAGAAAACCCCCAAATTTTCAACATGAATTTGAAATAAGAAGGTAGGTAGTTAGAGGCTGATTTTTAAAAGGTGGGTGGACTTTTATCAGAATGCTAAAATGTTAGGAAGTGTTACCCTCACAGTGACCACAGAGAGTAAGACTGGCTGAGACAGATGATCTGACTGGTCAATTTCTAATGATAGTTTATTTTCATTTTTGAAAAATTTTGTGAATTACTTTGAATGAAGTATAGCATTATAAATATTCCTATTATTTTTAGGATTATATGATGATGTTTTAAAAGAAAATGTATTAGTTTTGCAATATAATTTTCTTTTACTCATGTCTCCATTTTTTCCTCTGTAAAATGTACCCCCAATATATTAATGGAAATTGGAATATAGACACTTAACAGATTTACATTCTAGTATATTGTCTAGAATGCATGTATTTTATTAAGTGACAGATAACTATAATAAAGTCATGAAAGCATAAATCAAATCATAAGTTATTGAAATTTTCATCAAGAAAAGTTTATATAATATTTGAAGTCAAGTTCTTTCTAGATGGCCTTCGCTTCTGTTTATGTGAAAAATATCATCTGGATTAAATTTGGAAGATAAAATGGCCAAATATTGCCTGCAGGATGCCATACAGTCAAATATTTGCATACATCTTCATGATTGATTGACGTTTTTATTTTTCTCAGTTATTAGCCTCATAGCCTCAGTCACGTTGTACAGATGACTCTCAACCTACAGTAGGCTTGTCGCATAAAAGTTGATCTAAAAAATTTGGTTTTTTGGAACTTGTAATACATTTATAGAAACAGTACTTTAAGTGATGTGTAGGTTTCCAGACCAATCCACAAATGCCCTTTTAATAAATAATATACCTAAAGTACAGTGCCTGTTAGTACTGAAAACACAACCACTATGTATACCAATATTCCTGGGAATCCTTTGAGTTAAACAGTGTTTATTGACTGCTTTCTCTGTGCTGAGCTCTTTTGGCATACAGAGGTGACAGTACTGCCTGGGCCCACAAGGAGGAGAGAAAATTGAGAGAGTTTGTATGTGACTGACTCTGACGTTAGGCAGAGTAAAGAAAGCTTTATAGTATTGGTATAGGCAAAATGCTGAATAATTGATTCAGAGTTCTATCGTGAGGGCCAGTGACTGCATACCTCCTTAGGACTCTCATGTGTTGTTTCATCCTCGAGATGTCTACTGAGCCACTTCCTAAGCTAGGTGTTGGGTATGTAAATA